ACCTGACTGGTGATCCAACGAAGAGGGTCAAGTTCCGTGCTGATATCTGGCCTGATCAGCCAGACGTACCTGCAGTTTTACTTGAGAAATTTCATCGTGGGCCCTGCTTGTAGCTAGAACAAGACGTCCAGCCTTTGCATCGGTTCGTCATCGGCAGATGTGCATTGTCGCTTTGGATGTGTCGATTCGAAGGTGGAGGCTGTGCAGGTTTTGAGGAAGTTTGGACCACCGTACTTACCCCTGTCCTGGTTTCTTAGGTTTTTCACTTGGGCTGGCGTGTGGCACCGCTGTCAAGTCAGTACGCATTTCTATAAGTGTGTGCGTCACCCTCCGTCTCCAAAAAAAACACTTTCCAAAAAGCAGGGGCGTGCAGCGTCTGTGATCTACTGCACGCAACGAAGCTATGATCACAGATGGGAAGGGATCAAGGACGCTTGAGCCTGTACCTGCTCCGAACACAAAGACACCACTGGTCCGCCCTGCTGCTGTCTGTTTGATTTCATGGTTGTTTCCATGATACCTCTCCCCCAAACCACTTCCCCGCCGCTTTCTGCAGCTGCACTGCCGCGAGAGAGTTTAAACAGTTTTGCAAACATTGCAAGTACTCTTGCCGACTCAGCCGCCGTGCGTTTCCCGCATTCCATTCAGCGTGGGTTCTGGCACTGGATGAACCTTTATCTAAGTGTGACTCGCTGCGCTTTCCCACTTGGGTGCGCAATGTGATCCCTGCAAGGGGCGCCGTGACCACTGGAATTTTGGTTTGATATTCCGCATTTCTGCGCTCGTTGGATTCTAGTTTTTGGGATCACTTTCGTTTCACCCATGAACCACCTGATGCCCAAGCGGCCGCGCTTACGGATCCTCATGCTGCCGAGCTCACGGTCTACACACACATGTACATACATACACCCTTTTCCCCCCTCCCCCGCTTTCTCTCTTGCGCTTTCTTCGTTTTTTAAGGTGTTCTTTCAGGCTCGCTAGGTGGTTCTTGAGGCTCGTTTCCCTGCCCCTCGGGTTTTTATGTCTTTCTCTCTTGTCTGTTCGTTTGTCTTTCTAGGTCTGCCTTTTTGCTAGGGGCTTTTAGGTTTGTAGCGAGGTGTTTTTCCTGTTGGTCAAGGGCCAAGTAGTCAAGTGCTGCTACACCTATCTTTCTCTCTTGCCTTTTCGTTTTCCTCTTTCTGTCTTTTCTTTCTCTCTCTCTCTTCTAAGGCTTGCTAGGTAGCTAATCAGGTTTTTGACACCGTAAATTGCCGCTCGTGCGGCAGATGCACGCCTCTACACCTATCTTTCTCTCCTGCCCTCTTCGAATCTCTTTTTCTTTTACCGTTTCCCCTTCTTTTTCTTTTCTTTTCTAAGGCTGGTTAGGTGACTATTCAGGTTTTTGAACCAAAAGAGTGCTCAACCTGCGATGCATTGCGCCGATAATCGACCAGTTGCGTGTGTCACCCCCCGTCTTTAGGAGGACCACTTTCCAAAAAGCAGGGGTGTGCAGAATCTGTGATCTACTGCACGCAACGAAGCTATGATCACAGATGGGAAGAGATCAAGGACGCTTGAGCCTGTACCTGCTCCGAACACAAAGACACCACTGGTCCGCCCTGCTGCTGTCTGTTTGATGTCATGGTTGTTTCCATGATACCTCTCCTCCAAACCACTTCCCCGCCGCTTTCTGCAGCTGCACTGTCGCGAGAGAATTTAAACAGTTGTGCAAACATTGCAAGTACTCTTGCCAACTCAGCCGCCGTGCGTTTCCCACATTCTTTTCAGCGTGGATTCTGGCACTGGATGAACCTTTATCTAAGTGTGTCCTTGTCTTGGGCGGGAAGCATCCGTGATGCTGTAGCGCCTTCCATCCGCAACGGGCGCAACCTGTGCTGCCCGCCTACTACCACACCTTTACGAATTTTAATAGCAATGGCCTCCAACCTGAGAACGATGGCCTCCAACCTAATAGCCTACCACACCTTTACGACCTTTAAGGGCCCTTAAACATGAATTTCATCCCGCAAAGCTTTGACAGGTCCATCCCTCGACGCCACGTGCGTTTCACCTGGTTGCCCAGTACTTAAGTCGCACAAACCAATGTACCACGTGCGCTCATGGTACGCCCTTCCAGCACATATATATGATCTCACTCGCGTCCTGGGCCGCCGGCTGCATGTCAGCACCTGAAGAGCTCGTTCCCAATGTGACGTGTGTCTCTTTGAGTTGGCCTCAGGTGCACAAGGCGAAAATGCGGACGCTGGGAACATCACTGGCCAGCTGAGCAACCGGCAGATTTGCCAAGTTTAATAGCTATCAGTGGGTGCCCGCCCGAATTCGCCAAGCCCACGACGGCCCGCAATGGGGGCCCACGGGTAGTTTTGGGTGTGATGCAACATGATGCAAGCTCTTCCCATCGAGTTGATTCTGCTGCCCCCTTCTGTTTTGTTTTGGTGCCTCGGCATCAGTCGGGCGTGCAGCAAGTTTGGCCTCCCATTGAACCATAACTTCAAAGTCCCACTATATTCTAAATGCTTGATGTTCACGCATGTTCATTTTGCACACTTGACTGTTATTGTGAATGTTCCGCTTTTGTTGGGAGGCTAGTTGGATCGTGCGTTATTTTCGGCAAAACCCGAAGCGTCGCATCCTGAAAGGATGCCTGATGCCGACGGAATTGATAGATGTTTGGATTGCACTGGACGATGTCAAAGACAAGTCTGAAAAACGTGCTGCCATTAGGCATGACACACCATTAGTTGTCATGTTTGTAGACAGAACTCAGGACCTCAAGTAAACATACGTACGTGTTCAGATTCCATATGCAGCACAAGTAAGATTTGAATTTACTTATTATTATAGGCCCTTGGACTTTGCAATGCTGCCTTGGAGAGACTCCTGCCAAGCCCAGTCACACGAAAGGTGTGACTCTATGATGTTTTTTTTGATTATTTTAGTGCTGCGCAGGACGTGTGTCATTTTGTTCGCTCCCTCAAGTCGTCCGGCTCAGCATCGTCCACGAATCTACTATGGGCGTTTCCGGAGACCAGCGATCTAACAAGTGCATTGCACAGACACCAGAAGGAGGAGTTGAGGTCGGTTCAAAATGCGCATTTGCCGTTCTTATGCACAAGCTCAATGCGCCCGCCATGGAGAGCTTGGCTGGTACAGGTGATGTGCCTGGCCGCCGAAGCTAGCGGTGAGGTGGCCGCAGCGTTGCATGAGGCCACGGATGGAGATGTGGAAAACCTTTCGAAGAGCTCAGAGGATTCGACTCAGTCTCTGACTCCCTCAGACCAAACAGAACAAGGCAATCCGCCGGAAGATAGTTTAGACAGAATTCAGACCAGCTCTTTGGAGCCGGTCCATGAACCCAGTGGTGCTCAGGCTGGCTTGGTGGATGACATTCCTGAGGACCAGCTTGAGAAAGAGCTCATGACACCTTCAGACTCCCAAGTGGCCGGGGTCTGTGGGGCCAGTTCTGCAGATTCTGCAAACTGCATTGCACCGAGTTCTATAAGTCATCAAGTCACTGAAGCTGCTTCCAAAGAAGAGACGCCGGCGCAGCCTCCTGACTTACCGACTGTTTCCGCGCCAGTTTTACCACCTCCGCAACCACCAGCTGCTCCACCTCCTGCTCCACCTGCACCAGCCCCGCCTTTGCCGCAGAGCGTAGATCCTGAAGCTGAGGGTTATGCCTTCAATGATCGACAAGCTTGGCTGTCCATTGGCAAACGGACCGAAAGCGAGTTAGAGAGACGAATGCGTTTGGCCATGGAGGATGAGGTCAAGATGGAAGCTTTACACTCTGCCGAGGTTCTGGAGCATCAACAGCAGTCGATCCACCACGAATCATGGGCGTATTATGAAGGAGATTTGATGCGGATGGCACACCGAAAGCTGCTGGGCCTGGGGCTGAGCATGGTCAGCTTCTGTCTTGTGTATGTTGGTGCCTTTCAGATCCTTTGGGCAAGGGCTACAGAAAAGATCACCCGGAAGTAGAATACCAGATGAACAGTGCTTGATCACATGTTTTGTTTTTTCAATTTTTGTCCCCAAATGCTAAGGCCTGAACAGCTCACTGGTGGTGATGTGCTTCTCACCCCTCCTTCCCAGTGCCAGTGACGCCAATTCATCAGGTGGTGGATGTCGCGCGGCCCACCTGGAGACATGGGGTCGAAGCAGTGAAAGCCACGGGGCCGTCCAAGACGCTCCCGACGTGGGCAAGCTATTGCCACCACTTCCATGGAGTTCAGCATTTCCTTTCCTTGAGCAGGCTTCAGTGGGAAATCACTTGGAGTTGGCTCGGATGGGAGATGATCGATTTATTCTATGCTTCGAAACCGAGCCGGACATGCATGTCTCCTACGTCTCCTGTCGGATGGGTGTAGTGAGTAACAACTCCATAAGCTTTGGGGAAGCGTTGGAGCATTCTGCAGCTCAGTTGGTTTCCGTCTCCTCCTTTGGGCAAGGCCGGGAATTCGCAGTTTGCTCAC